ATACAATAATTGTGATCAGGATAAAATACAAAGTAGAGATTATAACAAAATAATGATTACAAAAAAAAATAAAAGAAAAAATAAAAATAAAGATTATAAAAAAAAATGATGATACATTATTTCTCAAGTCTCCGAGCTTAGTTCTGAGCCCCCGAACATTTTGATAATAAATCATCATAGGAACAAGTCAATTTTTTTTAGCGATTAGTTTTAGAATTGACAATTTTATGCGTTCCATTAATATATTTTATGGTTAAGTTCTGATCACCATCATCAGTCCTAGGCTTTCAATTCAAATCTTATAGCTTTTAAGTACTCGCGTTGCGCTTTAATGCGATCCTGAGCGATGACTACAGGACCACTATATTTTGATTTATTTTATCAAATGGAAATCACCTCCTTTTTCGAGTTCAGGGTGACACGAATAGGACGAGATCTATCAGATGATCTCTTCCCAATCCTTCTTGTCCTTGACCCCAGATRAACAGAGGGGTCAATCTTCTTTATAATATCTTTTACTATATTATCATCGGAAAGAGGAGGCGCTGACGAGGTAGAGGCAATATTTTTATCAACATTGAAAAGAATAATATTTGTTGACCTCCAATTTCTTTCCTCAATCTCGCTAATAATGGTCATTGTACTCAACGGCTAAATTTGATGAGTTATTTGAATTAATTAAATTCTCTTTCATATTTGAAACTCTATCATTGATAGCAATGATATCATTTTCAAGTTTCTTAATTTGACTTTTTATGTCCTCATTCAGAACATTAAGCTCCTCTCTAATTATCTTTATCTCTATTATCATTATAATGTAATTACAATAAAATTATTAAAATACTTAATAAAAATATATATATATATATATATATATATTTGATTTTTAACGTGATTGAATATCTATGATCATGATCGATATTTATAAGTATAATCGATATAACAATTGCATTAAACCGGTTTTGTGAATAATTATCATACGACATTTAAAATATGAATGCTCATACATCAAGTATTATAAATACAAGGCCGAATTTTTTTTCCTTTTTTTCTTTAAGAAAAGAAAAGAAAAAAAAGAACTAAGGCGTGTTAACTGTGTGTGACACGCGTTAAAGTATATTTATTCTTTCAAATTGATAAAAAATTATGAATTCCTTGTTTTCTTTTTTCTTTTTTTTTCTTTTTGCGAAAGTTTTATTAAACTTAAATAAATTTAAACAATTCTTCTACAAATCTGTCAAATATTTATCCTACTAACAATAAAGTTAACTTAATCAAACAAGGTTAACACGTATATACACATACACACACACACACACACACGTTTATGCGATATCAGTAATCACGTTCTATAGTTATCTAATTATCATTTCTAATCCAACACAAAATTGTTCTATTAATAAATCTTTTTCATTAAAAATAATTATATATTAATATATATATTAATTAA